GAAGCGTAAAATCTCCCTTTTGGTAGTCGCTGCTGTTTTCTGGGGAAAGAATATTGAAATTGTGTCTTCCACTTTATCTCATGGAAGTCCAAGCATTTCGGTTTCACCTGGTTTTACCCCAAGTTGATCTTTTGCATAACTCTGAACGGTAGGTGTTTGCTCGTCGTTTTCCTCCAGTTCACACACGTTAGAATGCCATTTGTGTAGGTCAAATTTCGCCTGTCCAAATATCTCCTTCACCGTTCCTTTCAATTTGTGTACACCGTCTCTGGTTTCTCCACCTGAGATAATGTCATCAACATAGAGGCTTCGCATTATTTCTTCAACTTCCGACGGATATTTTTCGCGTATAACTTCCAAGTGCTGTTGGATTGTTGCTCCTAAAAAGAATGGTGATTGAAGAATACCAAAGAGCGCGCGAATGAATCGCAGGACTTCAATTGTCAACGTCTCTTTGTCCTTAATCCAGTGAAACCTGAGCAAATCTCTATCCTCAGGTCGAATTCTTACTTGTAGGAATGCTTGTTTGATATCTGCAGACAAGGCTACAGGTTTCAGGCGATTTCTGACAAGTACATTTCACAACAAGTTCTGGAGGGAAGGACCTGTCTCCAAGCAGTCGTTCAACGATGGACTGCTCTCCGAGGCCTTAGCAGATGCGTCGTAGACAATCCGTATCTTAGTAGATTCCACCGCCTTCCTGATGACAGGTTTGTGTGGAATGTAATACGCATTCTTCAAGGGATCATCGGTTACTTTCTCAACAATCCCTTCCTTTAACTGATCTTGGATGATTTTGTGGTACTGGTCAAGCATTTCTGGATCGCGTTGCAATTTCTTCTGTAAATTATTCAACCGTCCCAAACTGTCATGTCTAGGTTTCCATAGTAACCCGGTTTCGTACCAGCCATCCTCGCTGCGTCGTAGTTGTTGCTTGAAGTCTTGGTACACCGATTGTCAGCTTTCGTTGGGTTGATCGTGGAGGCCAAGTACATCCAGGCTGCATAGCTGTTCGTAATTTGCTGCTGAAGATTTGGTGAAGTACACACTGCTGAGATCTGCTTTTTCGCCAGCTGCTATATAGTCCAACCGAGTGTCGTGAGTTCTCCAACAGGCTCTCCAGGCTGTCCTTGTGTGTTGGTCTTTATTCTCGAGTAATCACTAGCTCCCAATATCATAGAAATAGGTAATTCTGGTTTAGTGTCATTATCGTCCATTGACTCATACTGACTGATGATTTTATTGTAATGTGGGTTTGGTATAGACAACAGTACCCCCTTGTCAACTTTGCTTGCTTGAATATTCATTTCGAAAATTCCTTGAACATTGGAGACCTTCACATTGTAACTCTTTATCTTCTGACTGGTAGAACATGACATCATATCAATTCTCTTGTACTCGGTTTTGTTGGGTTTCTTGCGAAGGAGCTTAACCAAACCAGCTGAGATGTAAGAGCTCCCAGCCCCCGTATCCAGCAACGCTCTACATTTTACACCATCGACTATTACAACTACCACCGGATAGATGACTCTGCCATTGGCAGTTGCGAGCATGTTGTTGTTGTGAGCATGTTGGTGTTTAGCCTTGCACTTCAGACACGTAGCTAAACTTCGACATTCTGAAGCCTGGTGCTTCAGACCTGTACAATTGAAGCAACGTTTTTCGCTGCTAGTTCTTTCTTCCTAGAAGCCACATCTACTATCTTATCACAAACTACAGATTTATGTTGGTCTGAATTGCAGTATACACAGGGCTTTGGCTTCCATTGTTGTTGGTTGACTTGGAAGAATCTCCCAGATTTAACTTTTGAGCTCCCAGTGTCACTTCCTCCATGATTAGGCTTCTCTTCGATTACGATTGGATTTCATTCACACCATTTTCTCGGGGCCTCTACCAGTTGAGTGAAACTCCGATCCTGCCACTCATCATCCAATCTTACTAAGTCGGCTCGAATCCCTGGGAGTTTGTCAAGGGTTGGTCTGACAAACCCATGTACTTGACTGAGTTTACCCATAGTTTCAAGGGCTTGGGTGTCAGTGACTAACGACTCAAAAAACTCATGTATCTTCTTGGGTTGTGTCCCTTTAACGACAGACAATGATACAATACTTTGCATGTGGGCATTAGCTACCTCACTTGTTTTCCCATACTTTGTTTTGAGCTTGGTCTTAGCTCGTTCGTCCCCCTTGGGAAGCCCATCAATGTATGTACGTGCTTTTGGAACAAGGAGTTCTTTTAGATATGATAGTTTTGCAATTTGACTTATCTCGGCCTTGTCTATCTCAGTCTCAAACTGGCCCCAGAATCTTTGCCAGTCTACGTGTGTGCCTTGGAATTTTGTAATTACTAGTTTAGGAAGTTTAGCATTGTTACCTTTTGTAGCAGATTTCATGCGTGCTTCCTCCATCTTTTTCTCATACTCCTGCTTCATTTCTAATTTGGTCTCTTCAAATTTAAGCTCTTCTTTGAAATGTAACCTTCGTTTCTCCTTTTCGATTCCCTCTTCCTCGTTTTTTACTTTAGTATGTTCTCTCGTAATAGTCTCTTTTATCTCGTCGACTACCCTTTCGAAACCTGAAACTTTGCTCTCGATATCAAGACTCGATTCTCTCACTTCCTCTGATGTATCTCCCTTCTCAATTCTGATTTGTTGAACTTCGATTTTAAGCTTATGAGTCTGTTCGATTAATTCTTATAAAACCCTTGTATGACGTTCCATTGCTTTTACCTTATGATCTTTTAGTACTCTTGGTGTATCCTCTTGTGTAAATTTTAGCATACGAAGTTCCCCATCGATTTGTTTCAGTAGCTCTTCTACTTTGTTGGTAGTTGACATTTTCAAGATGGCGGCGCGATATCTCACGAATTTTCGATGTTTTTATTGACTACTCACGCTGTTATTTCTCGCTCTCTCGTTGTGATTTTCGGCTAAAATCCTGCTTGGGGTCGCTACTTTGTCGGAAACGTATATTTCTACTCGACAAACCTGTTTATTTTAAACTTAAATTCATTGAAACTCTCACATTTGATTTACAAAATCTCTCACAGTTTTGTTTTTCCTCATACCGAGCCCCTGATCCTAGCGCCCGCGGGCTATTTTGTTCGCAATAATTTATATAAGTCTCAAAAGTATCTGTAATGTCAATAATGTCTAAAATTATCTACAATTATAATGAAGTATTAGTAATTGATCAACACTGAACGCAGGCTCACGTTTACGTCAGCGTTGTCATGTAATAAGATAATTTTATTTTTTAAATCTTTTTTGTACAACACGCCGAAAATAGTTGAAAGATTATTGCTTTTAATTATATAACAATGAATTTCCGAAACATGTACTGCAGGTATGTTGTTCTGCATTTTGTGAGCTTTGATTTAATGTAAAATTTAAACTGAATCGCTTCGTAAAATATTTTCCCACAAACTGCTTTTAATTAATAAAACAAAATAAATTCAAATTGTTGAGTAATTTGACTAATTTCGGTTAGGTTTTCAAGTTAATTTGCTCTCCTTTACATTTTACCATTTTTTCTTAAATTAAACAGGGTAATTTAGCAAACTTATTAACAGCTTCATTGAAAAGGAAAGCAGAGCATGTTTTACGCAATAAATTAAAGCAACAAAATTCATGAACATTAAACGGTTTCGCATTACATTACGACTTAATTTTTCTATTGTAAATATCTCGGCGAGTATTTACCCCCCTTTTAAATAAAACTCACCATTGAAATCCTCACAAAATAACCTTTTGAACGGGGGGTCAAGTGCCGTCAAAACATTACACAAACCGAAACAATCATATATTTACTCACCGCTTGGCCAAAGATTCTGAATTTCATATCCAGATAATCTTGAATATCTCTTGAACTTTTCGTCATTGTCAGAGCGGCTATATGTGTAAAATACTCTTTATATTCAAGCGCTTTCGTGTACAAAATTTCGTTTGAATACGGCGAGTAGAAATATTTATTTTGAATTTTTCAAGGATGCGGGTTTTACTCGCACTTGCGTACATTGCGCAATAATTGGCCAATAAGAAGCTCCTGTGGCCGGGATGACGTCAAACTCACGCGTGTATGGGCAATTTGACCTGTAGAATCCATTTCAGGCATTTGAAAGGTCATACGATACAAGCTTCGCATTGTTGTGACGGTTTTCAGTCGTACTTCCGGTTGGGATTAACTCACTTCGAGCTCACAGTCGGACAAGAAATGGAAATATATTGATAAAATATACAGATTTGAAGATACAGACTTGCAAATAACACTCTAAATAGTGTTTTTAATGGGAATTCGAACAAGGCTATTACAAAGACGATATGTTCGAAGGGGCCGAACTTATTTTCGGCGAAAGGTATGGCTAAGTTTATATTTTTGTTCAGACAATTGCGTAATTTGATACAATATTATCGTGTTTGACTTCAAAGGCCCATAAATCGCTACAATCTTGATAATGGCTATAGGTATAGTGACTAATTAGTTGAATCTTTTATTTCTGAATCGAATGGTGGTATTTCTGTCTTCATAGCATGCACCGAACCGAAGATATGAACATCCAATCATTCATCCCTTAGCGGATGAATGATTTGGGATTTGCCGTCAAAGAGTTAAATTAAACATTCAAAGCAAACTTGCTCTGTATTTCAGGATTTCCCACAGCAAATCAATTCTTCTCATTTCTTCAAACAAAAACTGCTTCAAAGCTCATTGTGTTAAACGTGATTTCCCACTAAATATATGCTTTTGAAAATTGAAATCTTGTTTATCCCACTTCTGGCACACAGCTATATTTTTGGGATCAGTGAAGATGACTGTCCACGGTTGGTCACCCAGGCCCGCGATCATTGATGAACTTTAGACTTGCTAATTCTTCTCTTTGCTCGGGTGTAAATAGCCGGGGGGAATTGGTACCTTTGCTCCGGGCTAACGCCCGGAACGGCGCTCCACGTCGTTGGCTCGGAGAATATCCAACTAAAATAAAACTAGACAAAAAAATCCAATCTATTTCTTACTTCTTGAAAAAGGGTCCCTCTTGACCCTTGCAAGTGAGAAGTTTGATGCCCCATATTGTACCGACGAAAAGGGACCATCATAAGCCTTGCACGAAATATCATTCGTTAGCGTGACCAGTTTCACTTTATCGGACATCAACCAAATTTTCACTTTAGATGAGGAATTCTTTATCACTATGCAGCCAGGCAAACACAGTTGGTACCCCAGATATTTATGTGGTGGAATAACGTATATATGCCATTGCGTGATCGCGAGTTGGTATCTTGGTTGAGGATTGTTGCACACGTCACACACACGTAGCAGATTGACTGGATTTTTCGAATATCCTATATTGAAATATGCTTCTGAAACTGAAAAAAACAAATCCACATAAACTAAAGTTACAGTTTTATAATCACGTTTTCTTGCAGCTGAGAACTGAATTACGAAAGGTGCAACAATAAAACGCAATCTGAGCCAAAGGCTGACTGATTATGCGTCTCGAGTTGCTCACATTTACTACAGCTAAGGTGCCGTGGAATGGTTACTTTTAAGTTAAGGGGAAACCGGGGCAGGGATCCAGGAGAAAACCCATGGAAGTACACGACAGAACAAACCCCAACTGCCTAAAACGCGTTTTCCGCTTGGCAATTTTGTTGCCCATCGAGTGACAATATAGCTACCTAACCTTGAAAATCAGCGTAGCATGTTGAGAGGAGAGTTCAAATGTTCCCCTAATCATATTGCCATCAACCTAATTAAAACTATGAAACTATAAAAGAACTATATTTTCTAAAAAAATTTAATGACAAGACATATGGTAAGTTTGACTAACCTTCGTTATTAGTTATGGTTTTATACAATTTTCTGGTCCTGTATTCTAATCTCCCACATGTACAAGCGGTGTGATTATAAACCACATATTTATAAAAATTCTTTTTACTACTAGGATCCCGAACTTTGTTTGTTATGTCCGGAACCAATATCTCAATTTCTTCCACTTTCTTTGGCACGGGATAGGCATTAGGACCATTAAAGCATCCGCCAAGCTCAACTTTAACACAACGATACACTTCAATGAAATATGGAGGTCTGCTTGGTGGGGTAGTGAAGTCATCATTGTATATTGAAACCACTTCCTTTTCTGGCCCTGAAAATAAAAAATCAGATTAGGCTGTCACATGTACGCTAAAATTATGCCTAAAAAGTGATTTTCGTTGCGTATATCGGGAGGCTAATGATTTCTTTCATAAAGTAGTTGAGGAGCATGCCAAATCAAATAATAACAAAATAGGTACGCAGTAGGTACGCAGTGCGTACATGTTGATGAAACCTTAATACGACACAGAATACTATACAGAAGTCCATCTCTATTGTTTTTTGCGTAAGCACTATTCGTCATGATTCGTGACTCAGCAAATGCCGTTAACAGGAGCAGGTACAACCGGCCTGAAACTTAATATATTGATTCAATAAGTTTAGTATCAATATATTTATTGAAAAATAGCTATTATGTCAAAATAAGAAAACTTAAGATTCGCACGCGAATAGGCAATGTTTTATGAGCGACTGTTCATCGTTAGTTGCAAGCGAAGGTAATATAAACAAGGTCAAGGTTTTAGCGAAAGCGATCGGCTGTTAGATTTCCTTTTCTATTTTATAACTAAATAATGTTATTTTCTACAAATTTAGCTTTATTGAAGCTTTATTGAAAGTATAAAAACACATGGAACAGTGAATTACTATAATAGATTGAAAATAATTATCCCCGAGCCGGGCCTAAGACCAGGGCGAGGGTACTAATTCCGCCCGGTTTTTTACACCCGGGGAAACGAAAGCATTAGCGAAGTCTAAAGTTTATAAATGATCGCGGGCGTGGGTTACCGTGTGTCGTGAATTAAGCAGTCCAGTTAATGGAAATAGTCCAGTTGACATTACGTAATCAGACATGTAGATTGCATCAGTTACGAACACGATCAGATATTCAGTTAATACGAACACGTTTAGGTAGTACAAACACATGTAGTTTCCCTCAACCTTTTAGCTTTATATATATAACCATAAAACGAAGACAGTTTCTCTTACTTACTCGATCGAACCTCGCTATTCCCTACATTGGTGCCGTGACCAGGATAGAGGAACTCACAAGAATACAAGCAACGAGACGAGCTCACAAAGGACATGTGACAAGATTAGTAAAAAAAACCAGTGAAGTTTTAACGAACGAAAAGCCCGATGAAATGTTACTAAGCAGTTTAAATACATTTCTCGAACAATTAGTAAGGAAAAGGGATTTGATATGGGAATTAGACCAGAAAATCGAAGCGAAATCTACAGACACAAAGGGCTTAGAAACGGAGATATTCGAAGCCGAAGAACTAAGCTGTGACCTGGAAGAAAAGATCAACCACATTCGTAAGTACATTGATTTATCTATTAGTGCTTTGAACAATCCATCTACTGTATTTACACAAGAAAATACTGGCTCAAGTTTACCATCTGTTTCACAAAATACATGTACAGAACCGTCATCTGCAGCAGCCGATCGATGTACAGTCTCCGACACAAGATCAATCAACCCCAGACCATCCCCCCATTACAAACTAACCCATTGAATACTAGCATCTCTTCGGAAGATACTCCTACAACTCAACTTCCATCTTAAATACAGCACCCAATATGTCTCAAACAATATGTAAACTCCCAAAACTAAATCTCCCTGTATTTTCTGGGAACCCCCTAGCTAGACTGGCAGTCATTTTGGGACACCTTTAAAGCGGCAGTCCATAGAAATCCCTCGTTAAATGGAATTCAAAAGTTCAACTATTTGAAAGCTCAACTCAAGAACGAAGCACTGCATTCAGTTATAGGCTTTCAACTTACGAACAGTAACTATGAGCAAGCAGTCACTCTACTTAAAGACAGATTCGGACAAATCCATGAAGTTATTAATGCGCATATGCAAGCACTCCTAGATATCAGGAGCCCTAACGGACAGTTGGAAGACCTTCAGAAGACCTGGTCTCGCATCACTTGGAAGGGCACAGGAATCACACGGTGACCTCTTGATACCCATAATCCTTGGCAAGCTCCCAAACGATGTACGAAAGAACTTAGCACGCGAATATGAAACCCTAGATTGGACCATCGACCAACTTCGAAACGCTTTACAGAAAGAACTAAGGATTCTAGAGGCAGCGAAATTTGTCAATCCAACATTAATTGAAAGTAAGGACACTAAATCATCCATTACATCATCCTTTTACACTGGTATGCCTAACAATCCCTCATCATCCCATTACCCAAATCCCAGAGCAAAGCCCCCCCCCCCCCCACCTTGTGTCTACTGTAAGAAGGCCCACTCATCTAAAGACTGTCAAATAGTTACAGATTACCAAAAACAATTAGAAATAACCAAGAAAGAAAATATTTGCTTCAATTGCCTTGGACACCATAAGGCTTCTAAATGCCGATCGAAGAATCGCTGCACGAATTGTAATCGCAAACATCACACAAGTCTGTGCAATAAAGAAAATAAACCGTCAACATCCAAGGAGCACACCACCCACAATGAAGATACTCAACAAAAAAACACAGAAATCACACATGCAACATTGACACCCACAACGCAGATGAGCTACATGGGTCGACGTCCCATGCAGTCCCCATCAAACCTCATTACTCAAAACAGCCATTGCGATAATTATATCAGACAGCGCAGCTATCGAAACTAACATTCTCTCTGATGAAGTTGCCTAACGTAGTTTTCTGTCACACAGCTTCACATCACTTGGAAAATTTCAACTCACCCGTTCCACTCGATATGAAAAGAAACATGTACGCTGACAACGTGATCTCTGGTACTGACAGTGAAACATCTGCAATCAACTACAATGTAGCAAGATTTATTATGAACGATGCCAAATTCAACCTGCGCTCTTGGGCTTCAAATTGTTCTGATTTACAAGACTTAGCGATTCAAGAAAACACAGCCGATATTGGTGATGAAATTAACGTTCTCGGGATGCATTGGAAAACCTCTGCTGATACCCTCACATTAACCAACAAAGCCACCTTGAACACTCGTCAACAACTGATCGCCAAACGCGAAGTTCTCCAACAGTCTTCAAAGATATTTGATCCCTTGGGCATAATAACACCGATCAATGGATTCTTGCCAAAGCTGTTACATGAAGATTTTCGCACGAAGCGAAAATCTTCATGTAACAGCTTTGGCAAAAATCCATTGATTGGGATGAACCATTAAATGAAACTTTGACAGAAAACTGGCAGGAAATAGTCGATGATTTACAAGCAGCGCTCAAGACCGCCACCATCCATCGACGATACCACCTGAATTCAAATTCCCAAACCGCAGCTCAATTGCACCGTCTTCTATTATGAAGGCATACGGAGCTGTCACATATCTTCAGCACGGACAAGAGATTTCATTTGTTATGGCTAAAACTCGCGTCGCCCCGAGCTGATGGCAGCATTAATTGGTCCTAGATTACTCTCTTTGATACACAACGCAATGAACAGCATATACGACGCGCTAGAAGTATATCTTTGATCTGACAGCCAAATCGTTATATATTAGATTAACAACAACAAGCAGCTTAAAAAGTTCGTCGCCAATCGCGTTAACTCAATTAAAGAGCTCTTTCCTCCCAGCACTTGGCATTATTGTCCTACACATGAAAACCCCGCAGATATTCTTACTCGTGGTTTGACTACTCAACAAATGCAGTCCTCATCGCTATGGGAAAATGGTCCAGCTTGGCTTACGTTATACCAAGAACATTGGCCTCCTTGGTCAACAGCAGCAACCTTTCTAGCGCAAGCCATTCAAGAACCCGAAACGGTTGAGATCAGTCCATCTCCAATCCACACAACAATCAATATATGCAACGAATACGGCATCCAATACATTGTTGACATAGCACAATCCAACTGTTTAGATCGGTTAATACGAGTTACATCTTACGTGTTATGGTTTATCGGACAGTTAAAAAAGCGAAAATCCTTTAAAGAAGCTCAATTCACAGTTGAAGAAACCACCACAGCCGAAACCTTATGGATACAGAGTTGTCAACAGTCCACCTATCAATCAGAACTAGACAATCTCATTTCAAAGAACAAACCTCGTATCACTTTAGTCAAGCAACTTCGATTATTTCTAGACGATCAGTGTCTCATCCGATGTCGAGGCAGGATTCACAATGCTCCAGTGAGCGAGTCAACCAAGTTTCCTATCCTGCTCCTTACCAACCACCCATTTACTAAACTAGTCGTTTTATCTGTCCACCATCAACAGCTTCACTCAGGCGTTAATTAAATACTCACAGCAGTACGAGAAAGATTCTGGATCCCACGAGCAAGGCAAATCATACGACAAATCCTACGAAAATGCGTCATTTGTCGGAAACACGGCGGAAACCCGTACACCATCCCAGACACACCTCCTCTACCAAAATTGCGTCTTGAAGACTCTCCACCATTCACTGTGGCAGGCGTAGACTTTACCGGTGCACTTTATGTGAAAACATCATCTGTAGAAAACAAAGTCTATGTGTGCCTATTCACCTGCGCCAATGCACGAGCAATACATTTAGAAGTTGTCGAAAATTTAAGCGAAGGAACCTTCCTTAAAGCATTTCGAAGATTCGTCAGCCGTAGATCGCTACCTTGAAATATGGTATCAGACAATGCAACTACATATTTGTTGGCCACAGAGGAGTTACAGCGTCTCCTAGACACCGTATCTCTGAAAGAAACATTGAGTCGTCGCGATTGTGATTGGATCTTCATTCCTAAACGTGCCCTGTGGTACGGAGGTTTCGGGGAAAGGCTCATCCGATCAACTAAGAATGCGCTTAAGAAAGTCCTCGGACGAGCACAAGTCACCTTATCAGAATTACATTATTATTATTATTTTCCTGATGAATGGAAGGTAGCTAGAGTGACGCCTCTATATAAAAATGGCCAGCGTAGTATTCCTGGAAATTACAGACAAATATCAGTTTTACAGGCCATTAATAAAATTATCGAACGGATATTGTATGATCAACTGTATAACTATTTAACAAAATTTGAGCTTCTCAGTGATTCTCAATTTGGATTTCGAAAATTTCACTCTACAGCTAGTGCATTACTAGACTGTACTAATGGTATGTAAATCTAGACAGAAAAATGTATAATCTAGTAGTTTCAATTGATTTGAAGAAAGCCTTTGGTACTGTTGATCATCAAATTCTGCTGAACATATTAGAGCTCTATGGAATAAAAGTACAAGTTCTAACTTTGCTCAAATCCTATCTCACAAATCGAATCCAGAAATGCCAAATAAAAAACTCATTTTCATCTGAGCGCTTGATGAAATGTGGTGTACCACAAGGCTCTATAATAGGACCATTATTCTTTTTGTTGTACATGAATGATTTGCCACATTGTCTAAACAAAACAAAACCGCGGCTGTTTGCTGATGACACAAATTTGACTGCTTCAGCAAATTCTATGACTGACCTAGAGACTGCAGTGAATTCTGATTTAGAGAACCTTAGAAAATGGTTAATAGCCAATAAACTTAGCCTCAATATAGCTAAGACAGAGTTTATGTTGATTTGTTCTAAACCTAGCTATGATAAAAAATATTTCTGATTCTTGTCCAAATGTTTACATTGAAAACATACAAATTAAACATGTTCATGAATGCAAAACTGTAGGAGTAACAATTGACCAGCATTTATCTGGGAAAAGTAATACTGAAAATATTTGCAAAAAAGTTACAGCAGGAATCTCTGCTATTTGTCGGATCAAACCATTTGTTGATCAAGATACACTTATTTTAATACATGACACTATTATTATTCGTCCGTACTTTGACTACTGCTCTGAAGTATGGGATGTATTTGGTGAAACTCAATCAAAACGACTGCAAAAACTGCAAAATATAGCGGCAAAAATTATTCTGAATATAAGCAATGACGTAGATTATACGATTGCGTTACGTACTTTGGGCTGGGAGCCATTCCAAACTGAAAGGAAGAAAACTAAAGCAAGAATGATGTATAAGTTATTAAACAAAATGGGTCCAAAATCACTCACAAATCTATTTTCGTTTAGGAGTGAGAAAACTAATTACCACCTTCGGGATGTCTCAAGTGGTCTTTATTTACCAAAACCACGTACAAATAGCATGAAAAATAGTCTTATGTACGACGGAGCAAACATTTGGAATTCTATACCAAAAGAAATAAGGGAAAGCAAATCACTTTCTTCCTTTCGAAATAAAATCGCTGCTCACATTAGTGCTTGGTGACCTTTGTAACCCTACTACTACTACTACTACTGCTGCTGCTGCTGCTGCTGCTGCTCCTCCTCCTACTACTACTACTACTACTACTACTACTACTACTACTACTACTACTACTACTACTACTACTACTACTACTACTACTACTACTACTACTACTACTACTA